CAGAGTAACACGAAAAAAGCATGGCACGGGCACGGTGTAGGCCTGATACGATACGTTACTATGCGTGTCACGTCGTGGGCTGGGCTAGCTTGGGCCACCTTTTATTTGGGAGAAGCACGATAAGGCACGGCCCGCCAGCCAGCATAACATGACAAAACACACTAATATCAATGAAATTTTGCTTAGGCACACAAGCCCGTCATGGTGGCATGTGGGTCTTGGGTCATGCACTAGCTAACCTTTTGAAAATTTCGGCCCAACTAGGCATGCACTAGCTAACCTTCTGAAAATTTAGGCACACAAGCCCGTCACGATGCCAGTGATATGCCAGTTACAATAAACCTATTTGTAACGGGCATTAAATAGTGCAATGCATTCAAAGCATAGTATTCATAACAGCCCGGTACAAAAAATAAAGTCATTTTAACTTCATTCTCAGATGATTCTATGATTTGATGCTTTGTCTTCACCTTGGTATTAGGTAATTTTTACTTTTAAAATTTCTGCTACAATTGGGTGCTGTATTATGCTATTCCTTCCGTTTTTAAATACTTGCTCCACTTTCTATTTCCGACCATTTTTAAATACTTGCTCTATTTCCTTATTTGAAAAGTTTTTATAATATTTAATTCATTTTTTTCAACTAGTAGACCAAACATAAATCATATTTTATTAATTTCATATTCTCTCTCCTCCAATTCTCTCAACTACTTTTGCTTTTTATAGTTTTTTATTTTTTCTCCTACCCAATACCTTCATATTTTATTATTTTCACCAATTTCTCCTAAAACTCCGCGCATAGAGAAATGGAGCAAGTATTTAAAAATGAAGGGAGTATTATTATGTCGAGTTAATTAAAGTTTTTGAAAAGCCTATTAGCTCAAATGGTAGAGCAATGTGCCATTGCACGCATATGTATGTTCGAGTCCTACATAGGTTGGAAATATAAATATGGTGATTTAAAAGTTTCGAAAGGAATAAAAATAAGGAAAAATTGGCGATTGTTTTTAAACAAGACAACCTTTTGATTATTCCTAAATATTACAATCTTTAGGGGTGTCAAATTTAAACAAGACAAAAAACTTTTAACCTACTAAATCGGTTATCCATGACACGTGTTGTCACGTAGTTAATCAAAACATTAAATTTTGATTTTTTTTTTAAATAATTATTTTTAGATTGAAAAAAATCAGCCCCCTTAATCCCAACGACCACCACGCACCTGGTGGTCCCCTTCCCCTACCTCTTCCTCGGTGAACGCCCCCTCCCCTGTCAACTCCCCTTCCCCCACCAAATACCACTCATCCAACCCTCTTCCCACATGAACACCATGACGCAAGCCCACCCTACCTCGACATGTGAGCGAACACCACCACAAAGCAGGGTAGTATTGGAGCTTGTGGAGGGGGTGGCGTTTGGGGTTTTAGGGCTCGTGAATGGCTGGGGGGTTTTAACTTTAAAGGGTCGATGAAGGGTGGGGTAGGGGGATCGAGGATGGGGAGGTTTGGGCCACTGGTGGTGTGTGGAAGTTTTGGGTTGTTGGTGAGGCAAGGAGAGGAAGGGGTGTGGTGGTCAGAAAGGGGAAGGGGCGGTTTTGGTGGTGGGGATCGGGAGAGGGGCTGCCAGAGTGTGGTAGTGGTGGTGGAGTTGGCTATCGGAATGGGTAAGGAGGAAGAGAGAAGTCGAAAATAAAATTAAAAGTTTAGCAAATTAGCGAACGACATGTGTCATATTAACTTGTAATAACAGGTTACCAACAGGTTTCGTCTTGTTTAAAATTGACGCCCCAAAGGTTGTAATATTCAGGAATTATCAAAAGGTTGTCTTGTTTAAAAATAACCGTTCAAAGGTTGTATTGTTTACAAACAACCCTTCAAAGGTTGTATTATAATAGTAATTTTTTCTAAAAATAAATTCCTTACGCATACCCTCTAATTAAGACGCAACTCAATAGGTCAAGCTAGATTTTTTTTAAAGCTATATCAAGTTGCCTCTAGAGAATTAGACAACTTTAAAAAAACTTTACAAAACTTTAAAATACCTTACGCGTTGCTTTTAAAGAATAGTTGACTCATAAAAATATATCACACGGCACCTCTAAAGAAACAACAGATTCATAAACTAGATTTTATACGTCGCCATTAAAGAAACCTTTGACTCATAATCTATAATATGTGTAGAAAAGCTACTCATAAACTACACAATATAAGGTGTCTCCAAAGAAACAGATGACTCATAAATCACTATAATGAGGGATAGAGTAAGGGAGGGTACTTATAGTGTCGCTTGCAGTTTCGGTTACGATCACATTGCGGTTGTCACGGCACAAATTTTATTTTGTATTTATTTATTTATTTTCATAAGTTTTAAAAATCTTACACTAACTAGTATTAGGATTGAAATGCTTCCAAAAAAAATAAAAATAAATAGTACGAGTAATTGAAAAGGGTGGTTTAAAGTAATTGAAGCTCGCCTTCGTGGTACTATTAAAAAAAAAATACCTGTAAAAAAAAAAAAAGGGGGATAGATAAGGTAGTGGGGTCAGCTAGTCAGGTTAAAGTTTTAAAGGAAAACTAGTTTTTAACCCGACTGTTTAATGTATTATAATAATTGTTTTTATATTTGTATTTTTGCTTAGTATTTCAATTTTATATAAGAATAGTACTATGTAGAAAATATTTTAATAGTAGTGTGAAATAAGTACGCCGTATTTTAAAAGTACTACCAATTTTTTTTTTTTTTTTTTTTTTGAGGAAACAAAAAAAGTTATTTTAAAAGTAAAACATAGTTAAAAGTCTATCAAAATTTTAAAAAATAAAATAAAAAAATTTAAACGTATGTCATATTGTGGAAACTGCATCTTGTAGCCGTTTAGTCGAACTTGTAAATTTTATTTTTCAATATTAATATTCTTTGAGTACTTTTAAACCCTAGCCTCCTTTCTCTCTCTTCTCTTATAAACATTAGCCTCCATTGTAAATTTTGAAGGGCTTTCCACCGGAAAACCCCAATCTTTTGTTTCTTTTAAGTTTCTTTTAATTCTTCGGTTATAATAAATTCTCTCTCGAAAGAAAGGGTTTATCTCCTTCGAAAGACAAGGTTTTTTCGATCTCCTTCGAAAGAAAAGGTTTTTCGAACTCCTTCGAAAGACAAGGTGTTATTTGCGTTTGATAAGGTCTCCAGTTTTACGGGATTACGATTGATTATTGCTCGAATTCGGATTACAAAATTATCATAAGAAATTTTTTCCTCACAAAATATTGAAGCGTCGACGAATTCACTCAAAAAGTTGTATGACACAACGAATCGTGAATATGTTGAATTGTTATATCTATGTATTTGGATTCTTAGCACTTCTCCCATTAATTCTTGTTTCATTTTGTTAAATCTGTTTTCATTATATTATCATTATTTATCAATTGTAGATGTCGTATGACTTTAATCAATGAAATTTAGTGTCCTATTGGACTTCTTTCAAATATTAATATTTTTAACTCTATCTGATTGTTAGTATTCTATAATATGCATTGCATATATGTAAGGTTTTTTTAACTTTCTTTTTCTTCTGCTATATATATGCAGTATCAACCATGCAAAAAAAATCATGTATTCCCCTATACAATATACATAATACAAATTAAAATTTTCCAAGTTATTAAAATTGCATTATACACCAAATTGAAGAAACAGACTCACCTAAACATATTTTGCAGCCCGCTTTAATCTTCACTTTTACTGTTGACCCACAATCACCTTTATGCAAATTAAAAATAACAATTTTGTTAAATTTGGAAAACAAAATGATCATAGGGTGGGTTTATGAAAAATTAACTTCCCTTTATAAAAAACACTATTCTTTCATTAAAAAAAAAAAACACTAATTTTGGGTTTAGCACCCTGTATTTACATGTTTAAAACGAATTGAAGTGACACCTTTGTAAGTTTGAGAAGATTTTTTCACACAATTTTCTTTAAATAATGGTTAAAATTTAAATCTACAGTAGTTTGAAAAAAGTTAGTTTGTTTTCTTGTAAAGGTATTTTTTTTTTAAAGGTATGATCAATTTTCATGTATAAAGTTAAGTTGAAAAATTAAGGTTTCTGTAAATACATGAGATTATTATTTTTTTCTTGTTAAATATTTTTTTAATCAGGAAAAATAGAAAGAGGACACGTATCCTTTCACTTTTCTATTTTAAAATAATAGTATAGATTAAAGTTGTACCCATCAAACAGAAAACTCTTTTATTGAAACAATAACTTGTCGAGAAAGTGATTGCCTTTTATAAACCTCACTAAAAATGTGGTGAAAAATTCTCAATAAGCTTAAATCTTGGTTTTTTTTTCTTGGATTCCGTCGGTAACATTAGATGCAGCCGCGATTCTAATTAGATGTTAGTAATAAGATGGTTGTTTCAAGAAAAAGAAAAAAAAAGATGTTTGGGTTGAGCAAAATATTTAGAGGTTAGTAATTTCGGTAGGACTGAGGTAATTGTATGATTTTTGGGTAAGTAAATTATTTAGTGATAAGCAAATTCTTTATGGGTTATGGGGCAAGCAAATGTTTGTTTGTTTTTTTTTTTTTTTTTTTTTTTTTTTTTTTTTTTTTTGGGTGTGGTAATGTGTATATGATTTTTCGGAGTGAGCAAATTCTTTAAGGTGAGATATATCTAATAAGATGTTTAACAAAATTAAATACTAATATGTAATATAAATCTATGCATTATAGGTGTTGGTAATAAAAAACACATAAAAATCAAATCAATAATAAAAAAATCGAATCCTAACTGGTATGCGTGCGGACATCCAAACTAGCAAATAAAAAAATATTAATTAAATTCAATTGTGAACTAGCACCTTACCCTTTCTTTGGTCAACTAATAGGTTGAATCAAATTTAATTTTAAATATGACAACTATATAACTATATGATGGATTCCAACAAAAAGTCAAGTTTACGACGTTTGATTTTCATCTCACTAGGACGTCTGGTTAGTAACTCGATAAAACTATTATTCCTCCGTTATTTTAAAATGATACAATAAAAGCTTAGTACAGGAATAACAAGCAAACCAAAAACATACTAGTTTGATTTGTTTTTTTTGGTGCAAATACTAGTTTCAAAAATTAATTACACCTTATTTAACTGATCTAGTTTGTTTCTACCCATAAACCATTCTCATCACACGGGAAAGCGATGAGATTAGGACATCTCCATACTTGTAATCGAGTTAATTTAGGAAAAAACTTCCTAAATTCACCCCAATGGATGGTTAGCTCCGGCAAGTATCTGAGACGTACGGTATGCACATTGCAAAAAGAATGCATCTCCATTGACACCATACCAAGGTCCAGAACTTGGCCTCCTCTAATGTAGAGTTTCTGCAAGGAACTCTCTTTATCTTTACAAATACATCGTAGAAGAGATGACAACGTATCCTTTGGGGCAGCCTGAAGCTCCAATTTCTCGAGACTCTTTGGAAATCTTCTTGTGGGCGTTGGACATACAACAGCGGAAGAACTCCGCACCCAAAGAATTCCTAGAGTTTTGAGCTTGTCCATTGCCAACAGAGTATCAAAATCTTGTATGGTTGGAAATTTCATTCTTCTAGTGCGGATAGTCAATTTTACTAGCTCTTTAAGATTTGATAAGTCACTAAATGTTGCCATTGAAGACACCTTTTTCTTCATCTTATTGTTATTAATCTTTCCATTTCCATTATCTACCGCTTGTTGTGGATCGTCTTCTGGATTAATTACAAAGCCCTTGAGCACTTGAAGCTTAGTCAATGAAGAAATCCCATTAGGGACATGATCAAGTAAGTAGCACTCGGATAAATCCAAGTGAGTAAGTTGCTTCAATGACTCGATCCCTTCCGAGAGGGACTCCAAGTTGGGACATGCTCGCAAGTCCAAGATCTTCAGGTTATCAAGCTTGTATACTGATTCTGGTAGCTCAACTATTCCTGATATCCCTTGTAAGCTTAAACAAGTTAACTGCCCCATGTTTTTTAAACCCTTGAGCGTTTCAATATCTTCAACTACGATATAATTTTTAGGATCACGAACCCAGCTACCTAAGTGTAGTACTTTAACATTTTTCATTTTATTCAGCCATTCAAGTGTCTCACCACTGAGGCTGTTCTCTCCTTTGTTAATCACCAATGACATCGTTGGCGTGACATTGTCATCGCCTTTCGTTTGTTTAGATAGCGATGACATTCGCTGGAACATTGTTGGTTGCTGTTGCTGTTGCTGTTGCTGTTGTTGCTGTTGCAGGTACGTTACGGACCAAAAGTTGCGCTCTGTTACAGAATTGCCAAAGCTGCTAATCGCTTGAACGACTATGGAGTGAACATTTTCATTCATCTTGTAGCTATTACACAATATTTTGTTTCCCATAATGGTGCACTCGATGAACTCTTTGTCAACAAAATCTGCTAGTATATTATCACCCTCGATTTGATCAGTAATTAAGTCCATCCCAATCCACCAGTAGATCAACTGTCTTCTCTGTATTTCGGTTCCAGCAGGGAACAAACTCCAGCAGATTAGACATGTCTTCTTTTTGTTAGTGAGCTGCTGAAATTGATGATCATCAACAGTGGAAGAATCAGGCTGATAAGTTGAATCACCAGTTGGCGACATGCGAAGGTGCTTGGGCACACTGAGTGTTGTTGAAGATTGCTTCTTGGATTTCCAGTCATTGATTTTCTTAGCAAGGTATTCGTATTTTGCAGCATTGTCACTGTCAAGCTTGATGAAAGTTTGAACAGTAGCCTGGATTTTATCGATTATTTTGGGTATGATAGTATCAGGGAAAGAGCCTGGAAGTTGAGGTTTCTTGAGCTTTAGAAGTAGATCTTCAACCTCTTTTATTACACTTTCATGAATGATTTCTCTACTTGATCGGCTTTTAGCCACATCTTTTAGTGTTGCTAATCTGTTACCATGGTTGATGAGGGAATTAACTAAGGGATTCATGGTGCGGCTGATGGAGGAAGAGGCCAGCATCGTGGTTGGGGATTTATCTCTTAAATTTACCTTGAGGTCATGAGATTTGATTATGTGGTCTTTATTACGTAGTATATATTTTTTTTTTGAACAAAATATGTGTAGTCTTTACAATGTACGTGAATATTGCAAAAGTCAAATTAAAACACTTACCGTGTATAAAGATGGAGGAAGGACAGGACAAGGGGAAAAAAACAGACAAGTTATTATTGTACAATTAATTGTTGGTTACCCTACAACCTTTTTCCCCCCAAGAAATGATTTGTACTAGCTAGAGGTTTATGCGACTTGTCAATTCAAGCACTAAGCCCTGTTTGGTTCTGCTTGCACAATTTTAATTTGCACTCTTTTACAGTAAATTTTATTTATTTTTTTTTTTTTTTTTTTTTTGTGAAAACAGGTACTCCGTAATTAACTAGTGATAATAGTTACGGAGTACGAGTAATAAGCATCTAATTCTTCTACTCACTCTTATAGTCTCGTACAGTTTCACTCCTCTGTATCAAAGAAAAAAAAAGTGTCACTCCAAAAACTAAGCTGCTTTAATTCCAATGGTAAACAAATCAAAATTTGCTGAGAGTATAAGACATCTATGGGAAACATGGGATATCCGTGCCTTGATACTCACTAGTCTGATCATCCAAATTCTACTCACATCACTAGCACCCCTTAGAAAGAGTAGTTCTAACAGCTTTCTCATGTTCTCTATTTGGATACTCTATTTATCAGCTGATGCCATTGCCTTGTTCATCATTGGGTTGATTTCCAACAGCCAAGATGTTTCTCCACAGAAGACTGAGCTACTCGCATTTTGGTCGCCATTTCTTCTTTTACATCTCGGTGGTCCGGACACAATTACTGCCTTATCTCTCGAGGATAATGAGCTGTGGCGTCGACATGCTCTTCAGTTGGCCACCCAGGTAATCATCACTATTTATGTCTTTCTTCAATCATTTCAGCATAACAATCTGTTAATACCAACAGTGCTTATGTTTGTTGATGGATTTATCAAGTACTTAGAGCGAACTTGTGCTCTATTTTTTGCTAGCTCAGACAGTTTTAGAGACTCCCTTGTGTCCAAACCTGAGCCTGGGCCTAACTATGCTAGGCTAATGGCAGAGTACTATTCGGCAAAGAGTGCTCATATTCCCACTGATTTCGAAGGTGAAAATGGTCCCTCGGGCGGTGTATCAAAACTATTTGAGGGACGAAGAGATGGTCCTGATGATGAGTCACAATGCAATGGTGCTAATGCTTCATCTTATGATATGATCAAAGAAGCTCATTGGTTTTATGAAATGTCTATGCCCCTCTTAACTGATGGATTTTTGAGCTTAAAAGATCGCAATAAAAGCCGCAAAAATTTATTGTATAGGCCTTGTGAGGAAGCTTTTAGAATCATACAGATTGAGCTCAACTTAATCTATGATATTTTCTATACAAAGTTGTTCCTGTTTCAAAAGAAAAGAGCTTATGCTCGAGTTTTGTGCCTTTTTTTGGCTCTTGCATCCCTTTTAACTTTCTTTTATCAAGACAGGGGCAAATACTCTGATCATCATGTTGATGTGATAGTAACTTTCACATTGCTTGGTGGTGCTATAGCCTTGGATTTATTGACTGCTGTTATGTTCGTGTTGTCGGATTGGTGGGTTATCTTATGCTCTAATGGTATGTTTAAAAACTACCTACAATCGCTTATGCTGACGATCCTTAGATGGTCAAAATGGGCTAGACAACATAACCGTAGAAGGTGGTCTAATTCCATCTCAAAATACAATTTATTAAGGCATTGCTTTAGAAAACCCTCTTCATTGTTCAACTTGATATACTTGTTTAAAATAAAGGAAATCAGGAATGTTTTAGTTGGAATCCTCTATGTCAAAGAAGATCAGATTGAGGAGGAGCTTATCAAGTACTTAATAGAAGGGCTGCAGTCCAAAGCTAAAGAAGCAGAAGAACTGGCGGTAGCAAAGGAGGTTTGTTCTGCTAGAGGGAATTTGGTTTTGCAAAAAGATTATTTCCTCGCTTCAGAGTGTTTAAGCCCTTGGACCGTAGATGTTGATTATGATGAAAGTTTGTTGATTTGGCACCTCGCTACTGATATCTGCTACTGGACTACAAGTGACGATAAAGATGATGCTGGTTCATCAGAATCAAAGGATCGTAGATTCAGCAAGGCACTGGCAGATTACATGGCATATGTTATACTCAGACAGCAGAAGATGTTGTCTGCACTAGTGGGTATGTCAGAGACTCGATTTGAACACACTTGTGCAGAGGCCAACAAGTTCATGAACAATAACTGCATCAACGTCAGCTGGCTTGAAGATTGCTGGTGGAAGGCTAAGAGGTTCAGGTTCGCGTCAAGCCAAGACAAGAAGAGTCCCTCAGAAAAAGCAGAAGCTGAATTCTTCAAGAAGTTTAGTGAGAAGGTGCTTCAAGTAAAGGCAGATGTACAGCCTTTAAAAGCCAAGGGTGATAAAAGCAAATCAATACTCTTTGATGCATGTCGCCTTGCTAAGCAACTGGAATTGTTTGGAGAAAAGCAGTGGGAGATAACAGCTAAGGTTTGGGTGGAACTGCTATGTTATGCTGCTATTCGCTGCTCACCAAGATCCCATATTGCGCGGCTAAGCAAAGGTGGAGAGCTCTTAACTTTGGTGTGGCTGTTCATGACTCATCTTGGCTTAGGGGAGCGCTTCCTGCAGAATCAGGGCTTTGGATGGACTAAACTTATTATTCACAAATAAAATGACACCACTTGCTTGATTATGTTATATTGTTATGTATTCTAGTAATGCAAGAGTCACTTGCAGTTGCAGATGTCATTTTATTCGCTATCATAGTTTAGTCTATGGTACTTAAACACTCACCAACCCATATGGTGTGACATCTTTTTTTATCTTGACTTAAGACTTTTTAAGTATTTAACTGTGGAGTATACTATGATCATAATTACGTGCTATTCAATGAATATGTATGTTTGTATTCTCAAGGTTAATGAAACCATTTCTAATGCTCTAAATAAAATGTAGTATGACTACTAACTTTTCAATGATAAAGAACCAAATCTGGATACAAAAATCAAAATTCATTCAGTTCACTCACTGTTTCTAAGGTTTAAAATTGAAATTGTACGCTTCAATTATGGAATGGCCGAATGCTGAAATTTTATATGGGATTGGAAAGCCATTTCTGGTAGAACTCCTACCTCTGCCTATTTCCTGGGATATTATCTGCAGACCTAAGAAGCAAGGTGAATTAGGTGTTCAAGATTGTATTACTTGGAATGTTGCTGCTATGGGTAAGTATATATGGGATATTGCTAATAAGAATGATAGTCTTTGGCTTAGATGGGTCAATCATCATTGCGTAAAAGACAAAAATTGGAAAAGAGTTGGATGCCCTTCTCAAGCTAGTTGGCAGTGAAAGCAGATTTGGAGAGTGAAGGAACAGATTAAGCACGACTTTACAGGAAACACTTGGCAACATAATGCTGCTGGTTATACAGTGGCTTCAGCTTACAGATGGTTGCAGAATTCTAAACTTGAAGTAAATTGGCAAAATTGGATTTGGAATAGGTTCAACAATCCCAGGCATCGATTTATTATATGGATTATATTACAGCTTGGGGGAGACTTAGAACTAAGGATAAACTGATGCAGTATAGGGTGCTTGATGATGATATATGCCCTTTATGTGGAAATCTCTCTGAGACAAATGAGCATATTCTCTTTGAATGTGATTACAGTTAGAAGTTGGTTAGTTTGTTACAGGACAAAATCAAGACCATAATGGATTTCAGGAGCTTTGCAACTAGTAATGAATGGTGTTGGAGAGCTAGAAATAGATTCCAGAAACAAGTGATTTAGAGCTTATGTGCAGCATTGATTTACAGAATATGGCAGCAAAGAAATGGAGCCATTTGAGAGGCTAGAATTTTGAGACATGATGTTATTGTAAATAGAATTTGTAGTGTTAGTTCTAGCAAAGTCAATCCGAGTTCGATTCGAATTCGATCCGATCCGAAGAAAAAAAAAACCGATTCGAATCCGATTTAATATAGTCTGAATTCGAATCCGATGGATCCGAATTCGAATAGGAGGCGGATCGGACTACGACCTTGCGCAAAGTCCGATGGAATCCGAGTCCAAGTCCAACCCAAGTCTTGGAATATACTATCTCCGTTTTTAAATACTTGTTCCACTTTATTTCGGCCGTTTTTAAATACTTGCTCCATTTCCTTATTTGGAAATCTTTTATAATATTTAATTCATTTCTCTCAACTAGTGGACCCAATATAAATCATATTTTATTAATTCATATCCTCTATCCTCCAATCTCTCAACTATTTTGCTTTATACAATTTTTTATTCTTCCACCTACCCCACTACTTCCACATTTTATTACTTTCTCCAATTTCTCCTAAAACTCCGCACATGGAGAAAGTGAGCAAGTATTTAAAAACAGAGGGAGTAATTTAAACACATTATGTTTAGAATTTATATTGTAGGTTTTTTTTATGCAATAATATGATGTAGAAAATATAATTAGAGACAATACAAGCAATAATAAGTATGTATGAAACATTATTCTAAAAAAAAATAAAATAGTACTCGGATCAATTCGGATGTCTGAATAAATGGACCGGATTCGAACCCTTAAAATGTGAGTCGGATTTGGACTCAGACTCGGATCCAAGTCCACGACCCGAATAGTAAAACTGAGCGAATTCGGATTTAGCCCAATCTGACTCGAATTTGATTCGTTGTCATTCCTAGCTAAGGGGAATATGCTTAGGGGTTTAGTACCCTCAGTGTAATTCTTTTTTGGTGATTAATAAAAATTTTGCCTTTTCTCAAATCCCACAAGGTGACAAGGACATGAATTTCGGATAGGTTTTCACATTGATTTAGACATGTTTTACTAACATAACTGTAAGTCTATAACTATTATATGGCTTGTTTTTACTATATTAAAAGTGGAACAAAATTACAAAGGGTCTTTTAAAAAAACAAAAAAAAAATGGAAAAAGAAAAGGAAAAAAGTGAAACAAATGAAATATAGAGACCACAATTATTAGGAGTGAGTATAATAGGTATCCTATTAAAATTTCTAAACCGAAACATACTAGAAATTGACCAAAACGCGTGGAAAATTCAAACAAATTTATTTCAGTCTATGCAAAAAATCTACAAAAACGCGTGGAAAATTCAAACAAATTTGCATTCACAATTATAGCAAGAAATTGACCATTTTTGCACAAATTAATTGTATGAAAAAAGGGGATAAAAGGAGCCAAATAACAAATTCCAGGAAAGATAGAAACAAGTTCCAGGAAAATAACAAAATTTGTCTATTCTACCTCAATTATTAATATGGACGACCAGCAAAATTGGAAATTTCAACCACAATTTTAGGTGCAATCAATTTCATTGTACGTAAATTTGCTGGAAACCATGTGCTCGTTAACATCATTCATTTACTAGTCAATTTTGCTATGGATAGAAAGCATGTTTGGACACATCTGTACATTGCCTTTAAGCCTTAGGGCATGCTTGGATTGGGAGAGATGTATTACTAGGATAATAAAAGTCAAACTAAGCAAAATAAAAGTGAAAATAGGGAAGGAGGAGATAGTGATGGTGTGATTGTAAGGAAAATTATGTAGTGACGGTGTGGTATGAGGTGAAGAAAGAGGAACTAATATCCTCATTTTGAGGGTAATAGTTACACTAGGAGGAGGGTGGGTAACTATTACTCTCATTATGAGGTAATAACTATTGACCCTGTCTAGACCATACAAATGACTTCCAATAACTCTTATATTGAGTGGAACTCCGGCACATTTGTCAACAATATTTCGGCCAATCATGACCAGCTCATCATCAAGGGGTTTTGATAATTGATCTGGTGTAAAAGCCAGTTGTTCAAACAAGCGCCATGAATTTAGGATAGGTTTTCACTTGGGGTGACTATAACAGAGTACCCTATTAAAATTTCTGGAACCGGAACCGAAACGTGTTGAACAGGCTCCTGAAAATTGGGTTCTTGTAATATACTTTATAAACAATTCAGGGTACACTGTCTTGTTATATAGTTTACAACTTTTTGTAAAATTGTTTATAAAAAGACTGGATGGTCATTAATTATAATGTTTACAACTCGCAAATAAAACAAACTAATAGTAGTTGTTTAGCAAATGTAATTTTGATATTTATTATTTAAAAATTAGGTTAGAATTAATTTGAACTTAAGTGATACTTTTATCATGCATGTTATAGGGTACCCTACAGGTACAGTTCTGATTCCAAAAAAATTGAGAACCTGAACCGAAACAAGAACCTATTGTAACAGGTTCTCCATTTTGCTACCCAAAACGGGTTTTGCCGTTTCGATTCTGAGTTCCTAACAGGTTCCGATTCCGATTCAGGATATTCTGATTTTTACTCACCCCTAGTTTTCACATTGATTGAGACATGTTTTACTAACATAACTATAAGTCTATAACTGTTATTGTCTTTACTATATTAAAAGTGGAACAAAATTACAAAGGGTCTTTCAAAAAAACAACAAAATGAAAAAAGAAAAGCGAAACAAATGGAGTATAGCTAGAGAGCAGAATTAATATTAGGGGTGAGCATGACAGGTACATGTTAAAAGTTCTGAAACTGGAACCAGAATATATTATTGCATTTATTTCAGTCTATGCTGCTAGCCTTTCATAATTATAGCAAGATTCTACTATCAAACTGACCTATTTTGCACAAATTAATTGCATTAAAAAAAAAAAAAAGGATAAAAGGAGCAAAATAACAAATTTCAGGATGATAGAAGCAACTTCCAGGAAAATAACAACTTTTTTACCATTCTACGGTTCTACCTCAATTATTATTATGGATCAGAAAATTGGAAATTTCAACCACAAATTATGGTGCAATCAATTAAATTGTACGTAGATCTGTTGGAAACCAGCTAGCTGCTTGTTAACATTATTCTTTTACTAGTCAAATTTGCTCGAGATGGATAGAAAGCATGTGCACATCCGTACATGTCCTTTAGTCATTACGTTACTTTAGTTAGCAATTTAATATTATTGAGCTTGATAAAATGATCAAAGAATATGTTGTTCAAGAAATTTCATTTATTCTTGAAATTAACTTTTGTTATTCTGTTCATTTGAGTCACTTTAACTCGTATAACTATTCAATTGTTTGCTACACCATCAGATGATTGATATAGTGCTCCTACAACTTACAACTTTATAAGCTAGCAGCCTAGCACACAACTCACAAACCTATTCCAATTAGAAACAGGAGATGTAAGCAGTGGCTCAAATTTTATTATTTGGTATTCACTATTCCAGCCATAATATTGAAGTGTGAAGGAAATTGAGTAATCCACAGGAGAAATCGCAATTACAAATCCTAGTTAAAACAGAGAAGTTTGTATACTTAAGATTACACACAATCGCCATTCAAAAAAACATTACTTATAATTTATATTTACATGCCGGTTATAAGGACGACAAGTCTAGCATTGGAACAGGTTCCTTGATCAACCCCTGATGTGGTTGGGCACTGAGTAAATTGCTCTCTATCTACTGCTCTTGACGAAGTCACTTACTGACATCTCCATCACCATGGAACATCTACAATTATATGTTACGAGTAATAATTAAATGCAAACTTCTAATAATAATTCTAATGTAATGACTCATGAACAGGCAACAACGTATAAACAATTGTTTAGGCCATACTCAATCATGAAAGTCAAAATAGAAGCATGAAATAGAAAGGAAAAATTATGAAATAAAACACAGAATGCTTACATAAGTCTAAGGAAACATGCACTGGAGTAGTGGACAGGATAAGTGAATTCAGGGAGAGCAGCAAAAATCTGCATATTCAGTAGTTATGAGTTATTTTATAATCAAGGGGAAAATGTTGAAAAAACTGGTGTGTGACATTTGGGAAGGAAATAAAGCAATATTTACTGTTACATAGTACATACCCTAATAAAAACATTCTTGAAAATGAATGTTCCGGATGTGTTGAATGTAAAGCCTGTCCTTCCCTGGGGGATCTTCTTGTTGGCATCTTTTCTTCAGACTTTTCGAACACCCGGACACTGTAAGATGAGTGAGAGATTGGAGGTTGGCCATCCAATTCGGCATTGATCTGAGTTGGTTGCAAAATGAAATTTCAAGAGATTGAAGGGCAGGCAGGAACTGCATCCAGTTGGGCAGACTCACCAGCTGTGGGAGACCATGCAATGTCAATGTGCTGAGCCGTGGCATGAGGTTTATGTTACACTCCACACCCTCTTGTTGTTCTTCTGATAGCCTCAGACTATTACAATCCCTTATCTCTAACTCCTCCAAGGCCATGAGATGCTCCAATCCTCCAGGCGCAACGCTACTCAGAGTACAGCATTTGCGAATGATCAAGTGTCTCAAGGAAGATGAGCAGCAACAGAAAACATTTGTAGCTTCTCCCAAGCTCCCTAGTTCCTTGTCACCACATATATCTAGGCTTTCAAGGAACTTAAAAGCCTCCTCGGGAAGAGAACTTAGCCATGAAACATTGGATATAGTCACCTTCTTAAGAGCATTCGTATTTTCAGGGTGAGGTAACCACGTCGAAGAAGATGCAAAGGGAATGACAGCCACTCCCAAGTTTAATATCATTTGCAGTTTGCTATTAAAATTAAGTAATGTTAGGTCTTCCAGCTTGAGACACGGCGGAAAGCATGCCATCTCCGGACAGTTCCATATGAACAAAGATTTCAGGCCAGACAAAGATGGTAGTAATTGCAATTGTGCCTTATTGCTGCTGCTGTTGTTGCTACCATCATTGAGGAACTGATGATGATCATCTCCTGCTCCCCTCCTCCAACCTTTCAACTTCGGCAGATTGCTCATCTCAATTTTTTCAAGGGATGGTAATTGATGAGGCGTGGGTGTGGAACTGGAATCAGCCGATGGGCTATCTTCCCCTATCCACTCTAGTTTAGCTAACTTTATAAGTTTGAGAACTTTCAAAAAAACCAAGTTTCGGAGGCATGGCAGGTACTCTAGCTCCCTACAATCTGTAAGGCAAAGCTCTACAAGATTTGGGAGAAGGGTTACCCAACCAGGCATTCTTAGACCATGGTATTTCTGCAACTCGAAGAACTTCAAATTACGATGTGGAGGTAGCTTTTCCATCAATCTTTCTGCTTCCTCGTTACCCGCTCTTCCATCCTCTTCTTCATGGATGAAATCAAACAAAATAGCAATGAGATGTTCCTTATTCCCCAGGCATAATCCATCCTGTTCACCGTCTTCCTTAACAGTATATTTTACATGTTTAGGCCACCTGATCTGGATGTTAAGACAACCTCTGAGGTTGTTAAGAGGCTTTAGCTCATTCAACCCATCAAACCACTGGCTCGGACTTGAATAACTTTGTTCACCACCTACTATGTAATCACTTAGACTGTGAAGGCATGTCAACTTACTCATGCTACTAGGCATGCAAGTCAAACTAAAGCAACTCCTGATATCCAACAATCTGAGATCAACCAACCTGCCCAGATCACTTGGCAACTCTCTCAGTGTGCAGCACGACCTTAACATTAAGGTTTGTAGATTATGAAGTTCTGTAATTGACTTGGGGAGAAACTCAATCTCTGTATTCCCGGAGATATTTAGATACCGCAATTGTACCAATTTGCTAACAGAATCAGGCAATCTTTCGAAAATTAACCCACTCAGGTCCAATGCCTTCAGGTTTAGACATTTTGCTACCAATGACTCCAGGTAAGACATTTTCACCTTGCCAACTTGATAACCTTCCCCACAAAAATGAAGATATGAAAGAATATGTGTTTTACCCAATGTGTAGTTATCAACTTCCCCCCGAACTGATAGATGGTGCACATTTTTATCAAGGTTGGAACAAATGGTTTCCATTACACACATTTCCTTCCCTGCGACATGTTGACAAAGATCATGTATGATATCATGGATCTTACAAGACACGATCTGACCATATTTATCTTTTTTCATGTCTCGGAAAAAATCTCTATCTAACAAACTTGAAAAATATCCCTCACACACATCTTCTATACTTGGATGTTCATATGATGGAGCTATATAGCCTTGTGCCATCCAAAGGCTTTTCAACTTCTCTTTCTCTATCTCAAAATCCTTAGGAAACAATGCACAATAATGGAAGCAACTCTTTAATGGAGATTCAAGAATATCAAAACTTAACTTCAATATGGGCATAATGCAACTTTCATAGCTCTTATTGCAGGCTAATCCTCTCTCTTGAAATTGTTTCCACTCGACCCTGTCCTGACGATCCAAAATACTTCCAATAAGTCTTATACTGAGTGGAACTCCGGCACATTTGTTAACAATATTTCGGCCAATCATGACCAGCTCGTCATCAAGGGATTTTGATAAATGATCTGATCTAAAAACCGCTCGTTGAAACAAGCGCCATGAATTTTCCTTTGATAAGGCTTGTAGCTCATACATTTCACCTTTTACTATTGTTGCAGTGATTTTTGAGCGTGTAGTCACCAGTATCCAACTTCCCTGAAGACCTCCAACCAAGAAGGGTACCAATCTATTCCACTCATCATATTTCTCAATCCACACATCATCTAAAACAATCAAGTATTTCTTGCCTGCTAGTTGCTCATGAAGTTGAATTTGGACCTTTTCCCGGTCAGTGGAACCCTCGTGATTCCGGCGAGTGACTGATTGTAAAATCCTTCTAAGAATCTCATCAATATCAAAAGTATCTCCAATCCAAGCCCACATCCTAAAGGGAAATGCAGTTGTGACACTTGGATGGTTGTACACAAGTTGGGCAAGAACAGTTTTGCCCAATCCTCCGATTCCTACAATAGAAAGGAAGGACGGGTCGCATTGAAGATTAGAAGAATCAAGCAGCATACCAACGATATTCTCCTGTTCATCCTCTCTTCCTATGATGTCAGAAGCAGAAACGTATGAACAGGTCTCTAACCTTCTTTCCCGCGGAGGAGCAATATCAAGCACGCAGCTTATATCAGGAAAAATACCGAAAAATTCTACGTTAAGATTGTTCCTAATTTGTCGAAGCTCGTGAGAGACACAATAAGCAACCCAGTAGAGACGCACCTTTTTAAAAAGACCACCTCTATCTTTCAAGAGTTGAACGTCAATAATGTCCTCGAGCACCCGATTTGCTTCAAAGATGACATCCTTCAGTTCCCTCATCCTTGAATTTTGTTCTTCAGAGTGACTCTCAGCTTGGAGGAACAGAGCTCTCAGTTTGGGGACGATGACTAAGAGTTCACCGATCTGAGATTTGCAGCCACACATCGATAAAAACTCTTTGCTCTCAAGTTTTTTCAGCGCTGCAATCAGAGAATCAACAGCAGATACAGCTGTTCCCATCTTCATTTTCTGGAAAGGCGATGCAAAATATCAGGAAAAATTGATTCAAACTTGGAGCACTGATACAGCCTTTTTTTTTTTTTTTTTTTTTTTATTTGTGTTTTCTGCTTCTCTTATTTCTCTCCTCTTTCACCTTTGTTTTAGTATTCCCTTTATACACACACCCTTGGGGATTATGTTTCAAAAATCTCTATTCACGTCAAAGTTTGAAGCAAGCTACGTCATATATACAAGCAGTGGCGGACCCAGGAATTTCCGACTGGTGAGTCACAATCGATAATCAAATATGTAAAAAAAATTTTTTACCAAACAACCAAATAATAGTACTAAAAAATACATCTAAATATTCAAACAGTACAAAATACAATCAAATGTTCATATAATACTACAAAAGACAATTAAATAGTAATGCAAACTTATTACAATATTTCTCGACGAGTTTTCATGTTTTGATATCGATTTATGATATCTTCCATGCTAACATTCAAAAACAAATCATTCTCCAAATAAGTAATTAAACAATCATTCAACATTTGATCTCCCATGCTATTTCGTAGTTTGTCTTTCACTTGCTTCATGCCAGAAACAACACCAACTTCAAAAGTAAATAGACCCTATCATGAGTTTCAGACAATCCCGTTTCAACCAATTTGATTGAAAGTTCACTAAGACCCTTCAAATTCCAAAACCTTTCATCTCCTCTAACAGAACAAATGTAACTCTCAAGTGTATGACCAAAGACTATTTCTGAACTTGGAAATTCATTAGGATAGAATTTTGCAACCTTAATCAATTTTTCCTTATCAAACTTAGAAAAACGATCCACAGGACTCAAACAAGACATACACACAAGTAGTTCTTTAGTTATTTCGGGATATCGATTTTCAAGTTCTTGCAATTGAAGATCAATGACACCAAAAAAAACTTCAACTAATAATTAACAAGCTAATAAACACCCTAAATAAACACTGACCACAATTCACATAATCGTATGATCAAAAAGGTTCAAATTTCATCAAAAAGACAAAAACCCAACAACATTAACAAAAGGTTCAAAGTTTACCAAACAAACAACAACAAAATCAACCAAAGTTTAATAGAATTAACTAATTAGACTGAATTAAATTGAAGATTAGAATTTTAAACTAAAAATTAGAAATCAACTTACTAGCAAAATGAGAATAGGAGATTAGAATTTTGAAGAAGCGACGAAGCGAAGAGCGGTGAGCACAGAGGACAGAGCAGGCGAGCAGCAGCCAGCAGCACAGCCAGCACTGGAGGCGTGAGCAAACTAGCGAAGAGCACTGTCAAACATTTCAGAGACTTTGGGTTATTGCAACTTTTCCAAGTCGTCTCATAATCACAATTCACAAATTCACAATAACTGTCAAACTTAGAAGTTTCAAACGAGAAACATTTTGCCACTGTCATAATCACAAATTCACAATTTTACAAATTCACAAGAGCACTGTCAAACTGTTTCCAAATCGTCTCATAATCACAATTCACAAATTCACAAGAGCACTGTCAAACTTTTCCAAGTCGTCTCATAATCACAATTCACAAATTCACAATTTTGCCACGACGGTGTTACAATGTTACTTGATAATTGACATTCCTTTAGATATTAAGTGCATCGTTTTTCTCAATTGAATTTTTTTTAGTATATGAAATCCCTAATTCAGATAATGCAAAATTCTCTGAAATTGAGTTGATTATTGAAAAATTAGGGTTCAAATTTAGTATTACTAAATCATAACTAACAAGTAATATCAACAATTAAATAAATAAATAAATAAAAAGCCGAAAGATGAGTAGATGACTAACCTGAATTTATCTAGCTGTGCCATCGCTTCAGTTCAGCAAAAATGGTGAATTGCAGCTTTCTTCTTTCAGTGTTCAGCAAAAAAAGCAAGGGCCCAATCCATTTCAATAAAGAGGAAGATGAAGCGAAGAGGAACTGAGGAAGATGCGAAGAGGAAGATGAAGCGAAGAGGAACTGAGGAAGAGGCGAAGAGGAAGATGCGAAGAGGAAGAGGCGAACTCAGAAGTTAGATTTTTTTTTTTTTTTTTTAAAAAAAAAAAAACTTAAAATTTTTTTTGGGCCCTGGTGAGTCATTTGACCCACCAGGCACAAGGCCCAGTCCGCCACTGTATACAAGATAGTTATGATTTTGATTTTAAAAGTTACGTTATTTTAACAAATATTTATTATTATAATTAGGGCTATACAGAGTGTAGTTTACAGTTTTTATACTATATTTTTATTAGAAAAAAATATAAAAGAACTAAAATTTATGACTATATGAGCTAATCTTTGACTATTAGCTAATTAAAAGTTAAAAAAAAAAAGTTTAATATTTGAATTATAAATTAACAATTACAAAAAAAAAAAAAAAAAATTTGTGTTTTCACAATTTTGCGGTTTGGTGCGGTTTTAGGATCCAAACCGTACCGCAAACACCCCTAGTTATAATAGTTGCGAAATTAGGCCATATTCACTTCACTTTAATTTTGTTGAACTTAAATTATTTTTACTGTATTGAAGTTATTTTTGCTGAAATGAAATTATTTTTACTAATTCTCTATTATATTTCTTCTTTAAAGTTACTAATTTTTACTAAATAGAACTTATTTTTATTGAAAAGAAATTATTTTTAGTAAACTAAAATTATATTTACTGAACTAAACTTATATTTAATGAACTGGAATTATATTTACTAAACTGAACTTATTTTTACTAAACATAAATTATTTTTAATGACCTGCAATTATATTTATTGAACTAAAATTATTTTTATTGAACATTCTTTTTGTAAGGTGTAGTGAACATAGCCTAATTTCAACATTATCTCCTCTCTTTAAAGTATGTGCCTAAATTGAAAGTGTCATATAAAAAGAAATGGAGGAAGTATTTCCTTTATACTACTTTTATATGTACAAATTCTTAAATAGACTTGGTTCACATTAAAATATTGTGAACCACTATTATTAGGGACACTATGGTCACTATAATAATTTTAAAAAGTTCTTTATGTTAAAAAAAAGGTTACTATGTTAAAATAAAAGTCATCGTGTTATTATTATAAGGATTATAAGAGGATAATTTTCGTTTTCTATTTTAAACGAATGTATTGTATATATACTAGTCAATATGAATAATAAAAGTCACTATGTTAAAATTAAGGTCACTATGTTTAACATAGCAACGGTTGACATATAAGTATTTCAGCTTCACAATAATATTAAAGGTCACACGAATTTGTGTTAAAATAGGGTCATTATGTTCGATACAACTTTATTTGCGCGCATATAGGTCCACAATATATGATATTATTATGAACTAGGTCCACACAAGTTTTTTTTCTTTTATATGTACTGGTCTGCCACCACGAGGTTACTTGATTAGTGTTATAGACTTATATGTGTTACTTAATTAGGTGTCGTTTGGTTCGCAGAGGGGAATCAGAATGGAATGCAGAAAGGGAATAGAGGAGAATGGAATGAAACCCTCAAAATTAAGCATGTTGTTTGTTTACAAACAAAGCTAGAGAATCACACCACCATTGCACCACCACAACACTTATCCTTCATTTTTTTCCACCTTCTCCAACTACCCCACCGCCCAACCAACAGCCACCCCCAAGAACCCAGACCTCCACAAACTCAAATCCAAACCCACGCCACCCCCAAGAACCAATAAGACGAAACCCAGCTGAGCAACCCCACGAATTGAACCCACACAACCCCAAATCCAAACCCACGCAACCCCTAAGAACCACTAGTGAGGTGCGGCGAAACCACGACCGAAACCTAGCCAAGAAACCACGACCGAAACCTAGCCAAGAACCCACGTCCGGAGGGTTTTTTAAGGGTTATACGTGGGTCGGGGAAGGGTTTTTGGGTGGGAGGAGGGGCGGCGAAGGGCAGCGAGGGTCGGGGGAAGGTCGACGAGCATCCGGCGAGGTGAAGTGAGTTCCGGCGAGGTGCATCCAGTTGATAGGGTATGGTGGTGGACTGGTGCTTGGGGAATGGGAATGCAAAAGGTAGGGGGTGGGGAATGGGTTTAGGAGATTTTTGGGTAAACCCAAAAATAAAATGGGGGGTGGGGAATGGGTTTAGGAGATTTTTGGGTAAACCCAAAAATAAAATGGGGGAATGGGAATGACAAATAAGTGAAAACAAACACTAACAAAGGAAATCATTCCCATTCCCTTTCCCCCATTCCAGTGAACCAAACGACTGCTTAGTAATATAGGAGTAAATTAGTATTTCCTCCGTATTTTATTACTTGCTTCATTTTTCTATGCACGGAGTTTTAGGAGAAATAGTTGAAAATAATAAAATATGAACAGAGTAGGGTTGGTGAAAGAATAAAGTATGATAGTTGGGAGGAGAAAGAATATAAAAATATTAAAGTATGATAGTTGGAGGGTCCACTAAGAGAAAAAAAAATTAGCACTTCGTATATTGTAGAAGATCTCCAAAAAAGGAAATGGAGCAAATAATTAAATATGGCCGCAAAAGGGAAGTGGAGCAAGTAATAAAATACGGAGCGAGTAATATATATGGGTTATTTTATTGGTGTTGTAAGGGTTACTTTGTTATTTAAGGGGTGCTCTATCAATATTATGGGACTCCATTTTTTCTACAAACGGCCACACGGTGTGACCAGACGTACAGAATACGCGTTGTTTCCTTTGTACTTCCTTTGTTTTTTATGCATCACTTTCTATACGTGAAAATCTCAATTTAAATACGTACACTACTTATAATAAATTTTCTCTATATCTCTTCTATCACATGAGCCATTTATCTTTCTCATCTCCAAAAGTTTCCTTAAAATCCATGATTTTAAAAGTACGGAGAGAGAAATTTGTTAAAAGGGAGAAAATTATTAGATATGAATATTATCGTATTGCCAATATTAATAGTATTTATATATGTGCTTTCCCCTTTGAACTACTATATACGTAAGTTTGACTATTTTGCCCTTTAAAATTCAATCTAAGTTGGGGTTGTCCTTAGAGATTGGTTAGGAAATCATAGTCGTATGCAAAACTTTTCTTACTGAGGCTATAGCCCATCGTAATTGTCATTTTTTAGCCAAAGAACATAATGATCATATTCTTATTGAAGGTGATAATCTAACACAACACTAGCTCTGTTTGTGATCCTTGCAGGAAGTTTTAAT